ACGGAGGCTGATTGGGTGTTAGGAGTCCAGCCTAATGGTCAACAGATGGTGGGACAGGTGATTCATCTAACTCCACAAGGCGCTATGGTGGGCCTGGCCAAAATCAACAGGGACCATCTTATATCACCCTCTCCTTCAAATATGGTACTCTTCTTCCCGTTCACCTATATTTATCGTATCAAAGTTCTTTTTGTCTCTCATAATAAGGGTCGGCGGGCCTATCGTCCTCAACTATCCCTGATCTCCCATAGACCCAGAGGAATGGATATGGCAGACCAGCAGGATAGGTAAGCCACGCACCCTACAAAATATGTTGGTCAAAGCGGCATACCTTATGATCCGCCCTAAGCTGAATATTACATCAGTGCTGCAAAAACGGTGGGCTAGGCACCTCAATGTTGACACAAACTTGCTCAAACCTATAAAATTCTTCAAAAACATCAAACAAAGACCCGCTAAAGTTGGATCCGTGCTCACCACTGCCTGGCCACCAACGACTGGTTAATTGATCATTCATCATTAGAACAACGGGGTTTGGCATTACCATGGTGTACAACCTGTATGCCTGCTTTCCCTAGTAGGAAAGCCAAGGAAACCATCGAACACATGTTTATGCAGGCTCAGTCCTTTTATGGCGAAGATGAGATTGTACTTGGAGGGATCTAACAGGTATAGACTGGCCTTGGGATTGGAAGGTTATCCTGCTGGGATATTGGGAACCCCCAGATCTCACTATATCAAAATTTTCAAAATAATCTTTTTGAAATTGGCCGTAGAGCAATGCAAGGGGTTTTATGGTATAAAAGGTGTGTTCGGGAACATGAGAAGGTGAGCTTGGATGGCTATGAGACACAATCTTATTGTTCACCTTGGATGGCTATGCGGCACAAGATCTTATTGTCCAATTTATACACACGGAAATCAGAGCAAAGTGGACTGGAATTAAAGCTAAGTTGCAAAACCTTCATTTAAAAAAAGACATTCAACAAATTATTCAAAAATTTACCCTGGACTGGCTGGGGGGCGCTGCAGGGAGGGGATTGGGTAAAAAGGACTTCCATCTCATCTTTTGGGATTGGTTCAAGCTTCATCCAGGAGCCTTTCTCAGATCTCCTTTTTTTTTTCAGACCCTTTCCCTCCGTCTGAGCTTGCTATGGTAGAAATGCAATGGTATCCAGCGGCCTAGCTCAGTTGGTAAGGCACGCAAAGTGGCATTCAGATGGTCTTGGGTTCAATCCCCATTGGACTCATGCACCTTCCTGGGCAAGCTTGGCGCCCGCCACCTAGAGATATGTCGTTGGTCCCCCCGAGTGGCATTGAGCAGAGACTGCTGATGTTCATGGGGGAGGGGACCGGAGGGGAGGCACAGTGACTGGCCCATTGAAGAAGCTCGGTCCTGATGCTACCGGCTGACCCCTGGCCGGTATCGCCCACCTGCTGTAGCAGGTATGGCACCTGCTGGTGGGTGCAGCTCCTGCATGTTCCCTCGTTGGTGGCTTGAGCACGGATGTGGCTGCTACGGGGTTCCCCGTAATACTATAATGACAGTAAAAAAGGCCTGAAAGGCCGTCCTGTCCAGATTTGACAGGTAATTGAATTGGTTGGGCTTAAAGAATTTGCCTTTAAAAAAAAAAATAAAAAAAAAAAAATGCAATGGTAAGGCCTTAGGGGAGTTCGCGGAAGGTTTAATTAAGGTTAATACGTAGGGATAGTATAACTTGGTTCTGACTCTGGAGGATCCATCTGGCGGTCCTCATGGACTGAATAGTTGCTAGAAGAATTTAGCGGCAATGTTCTACTGAAATCAACGATGTATTTCAAGGGACACTGGACCCACTTTCCAGCAGGTGTTGCTCCCCACCAATAGACTGAGCCCCCTGCAAGACAGGTAGAAGTGTATGCTCTTATCATCACTTCTATCTGATAACGTGGGTTTTTCTTTTAAGTGCAAGGAACCTGACTGTTCATAGCTTGCTGGAGTGTATCTCATTGCATGTATAGATGTCATCATACAGATAGAGAAACTTCACACAAAGCCAAATCGAGATGAGATGAGAACCAGATAGCGCAGCTCCTACTATCACAACAACATAATACAAGAGTATCTCGAATCCAAGAGTTCAGTGCCAACAGAGTACAAGTCTCTTTCGTTCCATTCTCAATATAGGGCCTGGCTCAGCCAGCGTCTGCCCTCAGATCACAGGTATGGTGCCAACAGGTAAGTATCCACCATATCCAACTCCTTAACCTGTCTTCTCTCTCTCTCCCTCACGAGATCCCCGTCTTGGTTCCCTTGTCTCACTCTGCATGCTCACTCCCTACTTATGAGGATCTCCTCTGAATGCTACTCACTGATGTCTACTACTAACCCCTCTACTTCTACTAATAATGCGGGCGCAGATATGGCTGCTTCTGCCAGTCAGCGCCCAACCTCTTCTTCCTCTGCTTGCGCAGCTTCGAGCCAGCGCATTCTCCCTGCATGCTAGCGCACAAGTGCTTCAGCACTTCCATGCATCAATGCCAGTGGAGATCTGTCGCGTGGGGAGGCTGGCCTGGTCTCTTATAGCGCTGGCCTCCCTTCGCGAGGTTTGAATCAGTCCTCCTTGGGTCTTTCCCCAGCCCCAGACCACTGCAGAATGTGTCCCAGTATCTTTCCCTCAGAGTCTGCTGCTGCTGCGGTCTGTAGGCCTGAATTTTGGACTTTTGGTCTGAATCTGGACTGTCTATTGGACTTTGACTTGGACTGGGACTCTACCCCATTAACTACCATTCGAACAGACACAACTTCTGCACGAACAGACACATCTACTGCACGAACAGACACATCTACTGCACGAACAGACATGACTTGCACAACCCCCTGGATGAACAGATGTGACTCTCACAATTGAATGCTGCAACTGTTCGTCCTGGGGCACGACTGTGACCTTTGACACAGCTCCTCACTTCAGTTAGGATGTGACTTTTGACCCAGAGAACATGTCTTTTGATCTGCTTTTCACGAATTGAGTTCTGGCCGAGTGGGCCCCATTATGCTGCATTCGTCATTCAGGGTCTGAACGGGTAAAGGCCCTTTTATAAGAAATAATAATAATATTAATATTAATAAAGTTAGCTTCGGATGGACTGATGGTGTAAATGACAATGTGTGCATAAGCTGCCATGCCTGAATGGAGTATGGAAGAAGGGCAACACATCAATTACTTCAGTGATCGCTGGTCTGGACAGCAAACTCAGACATATGAAAGCCATTTTCACACTGTCATTTCCATAAACAAGTGGACCCGGGGGGGGGGCAGGGGGGGAGGAGGCAAAGAGAAGGCGGTGGAGGAGGGGGAGAGGAAGTGGGAGGCAGGAGAAAGAGTGTGAACGTGACTAGCCGGTCTTCCGCCCTCTGTCCTCCCTGCCCCTCTCTTTACTTCAGTGATCGCTGGTCTGGACAGCAAACTCTGACATATGAAAGCCAGTTTCACTATGTCATTTCCATAAACAAGTGGACCCGGGGGGGGGGAGGGGGAGGAGGGAGCAAAGAGAAGGCGGTGGAGGAGGGGGAGAGGAAGCGGGAGGCAGGAGAAAGAGTGTGAACGTGACTAGCCGGCCTTCCGCCCTCTGTCCTCCCTGCCCCTCTCTTCCCCCTCTACTTCCTCCAGCCCACATTGCCCCGGCCCCCCACCCACCGACAGGCCGATCTTTTTTTTTTCTTTTTCAATCGATTAATGAATCAATCAATCAGTCAACCAATCAACCCACTCCCGAGTGTCCCGTCAACCTTCCACCCGCCCGATTTTCCAAACAGAAAGCAAAAGACAAATCAATCAATCAGTCAATTAATCGAACAAAGTGATTATTTGATTGATTGATCGACTCTCTCTCTCTCTCTGTGTGTGTGTGTGTGTGTGTGTGTGTGTGTGTGTGTGTGTGTGTGTGTGTGTGTGTGAGAGAGAGAGAGAGAGAGAGAG